ACTCCAAACCCATGTTCTAGACCTGGCCCCAGACCTCCGGCTGCCCCTGGCCCTTGAGTGGCTTCATCACAACCCCTCCTCACTGCGACCCGTGGAGAGAAGCGCATTTCACATTGCAGCGCGCACGCAACACACCTGAAACAAAAGCGCACAAAGCAAAAATACTCTTACTACAGGGGTGCCCACAAACCATTTTATCTACTAGAACCCCACCGCTCTCCACACCTGTGTCCCCCGGCCACCTACAGCCGTGTGTCCCCTTGTACTAGAACATTCTCTTCCCCTTCCACTGGCAGCCAGTCCCACGAGCGCCGCCTGTGGCTGGCGGTCTCACTCACGGTTGACCCTTCTGCTGACCCTGGCACATGACAAGTGTCCACAGATGTCAGCTAAATGAATGAAGGTTCACACTCAGGAAAATACAGGGCCACCGCAGCCTGGGCATGTGGCACTTCAGTGCAGATCAGGGTGACCTTAGGGTGACAGAGCCACAGAAGACCCTAAAGGCAGACAGAAAAAGATGAGCTTCCAGGGGTGAGGTAGACATCCAACTGAACTGCACTTCAGATGTCACCTCCTCCAGGAAGCCTTCCCCTACCGCCATATTCCCAGAGCTTCCTCCTTTCCTGCCAGGGGGGAGAGAGAGTGAAGGGAACAGAGTGGGGAGCAGGGACAGGGTACAGAGGACAGCCCTCGATCCTTCTGGTTCCAGACTCTCTTTGGGCACCTTCGCCCCTTGTCCCGAGCACTGACAGACCCATTCCTTCTTCCTCACTTCCCCTGATGGGCAGCACCGCTCCCCCTTCTAGCTTCCCTCCCATCCCAGCATCCTCATGGGCTGTCTCCCGGGGGCCCTGACTCACTGAGCCCCTGACAAGGTGTTGACAGCGTTGTGGCTTTCAGGGCTGCCCAAGGGAGCACTATGACCCTGAGGGGCTCCGCTCCGGCCTCTCGCCCAGCTGGGTGGGAGGGAGGCAGATGGGCGTAAAGCTCTACCCTGAGCTTTACATTGCGACAGGGTAGAGGAGGAAGAGAGGTGTGGAGAGAGGAGAATGTCCCTGGCTGGATCAGCCACACAGCTGTAAAGAGAGTGACAACAGCCTCTTTTCCCAAGGGCCGAGAAAGTCCAGATCCAGGGCAAAGAGTGGCCCTCAGGCCCTCAGAGAATCGCCCTCCCTGCCAGGGAGCAGCAGATCTGCCCCACAAGGGCCCTGAACCCACGCTCTCGTCCTCCAGGAGCCCTGCGGGGTCAGCATCCAAGGGTCCGGGGCAGGCACAGGTGCTTCTGTTCTGGACACAGCCTTTGCGGACTGTCCATCCAGATTAGGAAGGCCGGTTCCCCTTACTCCAGAGAGCGTCTTTGTCCTTTACCTCTCTGGGCCTCCCCTCGCCTGCCTGGGAAACAGTGATCAATAGACCCCCTCCAAAGGGTGGTTATGAGGATTTAAAATGGACCACCCGGGCTTGGCACAGAGCAGTGCCAACACACCTCCCGTGCTGCAAAGCTCCGGGTTGCCCAGTGGTGGAACTAACACTAAAGAGGTGGTTGGCTTGCCCGAGCATGGATCCACTTAATGATTAACCAACCCAATGGATAGTTTGAATTCAGCCTCTTCTCCAACCAGAACCTGAGTGAGCCCCAGAGGTATGTTGAGAGAAGGGTGTGAAACGAAAGAAAAAAAAAAGGGGAAAGAACTTCTCCCCCCAGTAATTCCACCCTCCCCTAGCCTCTCGTGTTTACACTGATTTTTTCCCTCCTTAGAAGACCCAGAGGAAGGCTAATGGAGTCCAGAGACAAGGCTCACGAGGTCTTAGCAGTAAGGCAGACCTGGGCCTTCCAGGCCCAGCTTCGCCACTGCCTAGCTGTGTGAGTTGGGGCAAGTGTCTTCACCTCTCTGTGCCTCAGTCTCTTCATCTGTAAAATGGGGCCAGCACCTTCCTTGGCAGGATGGCAGCTAGAAAGAGAGCGAATCATGCACAAGCAGGAGTCTAGCACGCGCTGATTTCCATGCGGGGCCCCGCCCACTTCTCTTCACAGGACATTCACCTGAACTGCTGATGCCCTTCATCCGCAAGGGCTGCCAAGGGGTATCCCCACCATCGGTCATAAAACACATTCCCTTTCCTCGGTCTCCTTATTATACACAATAGCATGCCGGGTGGACTTTGGGGTGCCCATATAAATGTTATCTGAACCATGGATAGGGAGGGTCCTGCATGGCGGAGGAGGAACGCAGAACTTTGGAGCCAAATAAACTTGGATTTCAATCAGGTTCTGTGGACTGGGGGAGCCATGCAAGCTGTGGTTTCCTCATCTGTCAGAGGAGATGGCAATCCCTCCTTTGCAGGGCTGTTGCAAGAATGAAAGGCATTCATTGACTCAACAAATATTTACTGAGCACCTACTATGTACAAGCTGCTGCTCCAGGTGCTGACCATACAGCAGTGAAAAAAAGAGACAAAAATCCTCCCTCTTTAGACAATAAACAGCTAATCACACACACAGCACAGCACATGGGGACCCAGGCGAAGGGGTAACAAGAAGCAGGGTGGAGGGAGAGGGGAGTACTGGGGACAGGAACAATGGCGGGACCCGCCTTGGAGCAGAGACCTGCAGGAAGCAAGGGCGAAAGCCATGTTGGGGAAGAAGGTTCCAGGCAGAGGGTTCGGCAAGTGCAGGAGCCTTAAGAAGAAGCGTGCTTGGCACGTAAAAGAAGCCACATATGCAGCGAGCCTGGCACAGAATCCAGGTGCGCGGCAAATGCCAGCTCTCTATTTCCATCCGCAGAAGAAACCCCACGCGTGTGTCCTTCTCCTGGGAATGAACGCAAGGATTTCTACAGGGCGAGACGGAGCCCAGTGTTCTTTCAGCCCGAGATGCCGGCAACAGGGCTCCACCGCCGGGTTTGGAGTCCCTGCCCGGCACTGGGCTCTGGGCTGGGCAACTGGCAATGGTACCAGATGATCAAGACACAGTCTCTGTCCTCACACGGCCCCCAGGCGCGTGGTGGAGATGGGCTGTGGTCAGATGAACAAGCAGAGGCCTAAGAAGGGATCTAGGTTGCAGAGCCAAAGATGGGGTCAGGGGTAGGTGGTCAGGAAAGGCTTCCCTGGAGCAGGTGACAACCAAGTTGGATTTGGAAAGTTGCACTAGGCCAGGAAGGATATTCCAGGTGTGGGGAGCCTCGCGGGCTGAGCTCGGAGGTGTGAAAAACGGCCGTGTATGTGAGAAACGAATCTGAGGCGGGTCGGGAAACAGTCAACAGCCTTTCCCATTCTCGGCCGCTGCCGCCTACTGTAGCTCAGGAATTCCAGTTCTGGCCCCTTCCTCAGCCCCAGTGGGGGGTCCAAACTGTCCACCCTTAGCTCCTGCAGCGGGTACGAGACCCCAGGCTCCCCACGCAGGGCGGTCCAGGCCGGAGCCGAGGCCCAGCGGGACGGAGACTACAGAAATTTCCGGCTATTTTTAGCTCACCTGGTGTCTGTGCTTTCACCCACACAAACCTGACCCACACTAGAACAGTGTAAGCGTTTCTTAATTAAGAAATTCTAAAAAGGGGCCCGTGCCTTCACACGGTATCTTTTTTGGCTGGGAGATGCTGCCATATTTGCCAACATCCCTGGACACCTCCTGACTGAGTGGGTGGGTTCCCCCCCATGGGGCCGTAGCCCTCTCTGTAGGAGGTGGAGGACACCCTCCCTGGGAAGCGGACCTAGGTTCAAATCCCAGCTCTGCCGCTAACTGGCTGGTGGCTTCACCTCTCTGAGATTTTGGAGGTTTGGGTGGCCCTAAATGTGCCCAAAGGCTTATGAGGTGGGACTCCATGGGAGTGTGAGAGCGGAGATGGGGCTGTATACCCCTCTCCTCCTAAAACGTCACAGTAAATTCACCCACAGCTGACTGGCTTCCCCACTGAGCTGTGCTTTTGTACTTTAAACGCACACATCTGTCGCCTTCCCCATAAAGGATGCTACCAAATGCCCAGCCTTCAGCCCAAACGAAGCCTTATTCGAAAGACTTGGGAGATGGGAAGAGGGCAGGCGGAGAGCCTGGGGTCCCCACCCAGACTCTTCCCCGTTAGTGGCCTGACCTTGGGCGAGTCATTTTTCCTCCTCTGGACCTCAATTTCTTCATTTGTAAAACTGGAATCCACAGCTTTCCCATGAAGCTTCTTTGCATATCTCCTTTGCAAAGGCGCTGGGGTATGCAAAGTCCAGGGTGTGGAGTGTCCGGGGTATGCAAAATGTGGGGCACAGAGCACTCGCACGCCGATCCCTTCCCGTAATTATCTGGTATATTGTAGTAAGGCCTCCACTGCTTCCCAGCTCCCACCTTTTGAATCCCCTTAATCTGGCCCCGGCAATTCAGCCTGCGGCGGTTTTAACTAGGGGGCGAAGCGTTCTGTAGCGGTGACTCCGAGGGGCTAGAGTCCCTAGTTGAACGGACACCAGACGGGGGCGCAGCCGGGGTGCGCGTGGGAACCTGGCCAAACCGAGGCAGCTTGTGCCGCGGGGGCGCAGGGCGGCTGTAAACTGGGGTACCCCATAGAGCACACTCCCACCCCCCACCACTCTCAGCTGCTGCAGTCTCCACACAAGGGCGGCTCTGGCCGTCGGAAGCTCTTGGGAGACCTCTCCAGTAACGGCTCCCCGCCCTATCCCGGGGGCGCCCCGAGCTTCCTCATCAGCGCCCTCAGGCTGAAACAAAGGCAAAGGGGCGCACGGCATCGCCTCAGAAGCCCCTTCGTTCATCTTGGCAAAGCCGTGAGAACAAGAACGGGGGTCCCCAAGGTAACCAGGACGCGGTACCCGCCCTCCCGGAGCGCAAAGCCCAACCGCAGGGCGCACGCGGATCCAGGGTCCGAGAGGCATTGTAGACTCCAGCCCGCTGGTCACCGAGGGCTCCAAAGCAGGGGTAGCTCTCCGGAAGTCACCCAGAGGGTTCCCCAGGGAGAGGAGAACCCCAACGCCCGCCTCCGGGGCAGGGCTCCCCGGCGTACCTGGCAGCGTCCTGTGCACGGTGTTGCCCATCGCTGCTTCGGGGCGCGGCGCTGGCGGCAGCGCGCTTAGAGCGCACGAATGCTAATTACCCGGTGGGCCGGCGACCCGGGCCGGGGTCGGACCGCGGGGCATCACGGCTGCACAGGCGAGCCTGCGGGCGGCAGCTGGGGCGGGCGCCCGGAGGGAGGCAGCGGCCGGAGAAGGCGGAGCCACCGGCTTGGGCCTGCCAGCTCCGCCCCCGCCTCCCTCCACCGCCAACCGCGCAGGGAGGGGCGGGGGCGGGGCCGCAGCCGCCGCATCTTTTGAAAGTTTGCACCCGGTGGCGGGAGCAGAATCCCGGAGACTCCCGCCCTCCCCGTTCCCGCGCCCGGGACAGACAGGCACGCCGCACAGCTGGATGCCCTCTGCGTGCCAGGCTCGTCAGCCTGCTGGCCTTGCCCTCATTTAATGCAACATTCCGAGAAGCCCTTCTGCGTGTGCCAGGCCCTCTTCCAGGCGCTTCCGTGGCCACAGGGGGCCTAGTCTTAGCCCAGGTCTTAGACAAGACACACACACACACACACAGGCAGAAGGCCACTATGGCCAACCTGCTGAAGGGCCTGAGGAAGACAGTTCAGCCAGGTGATTGCGGAGTGGGATCACGCACCTACAATTAGGATAAACTTAGGCAGCATCCAAAGGTTGGGAGGAGGGAGCCCTTGTTCATGAATTCAGTCACTCATTTACGGAGCACATCTCATGTGCCAGGCACTGGGCAGGGCACTATAGATACAGACAAAGCATGCTAGGGGTGAAGACAGAAATTATCAGCAATTAAGGTCATGCAATAAAATGATCAAAGCCGGGAAGAAAATAAAGCAAGAGCGATTGGGTAACTTTGAGGGCCTCTGGGATAAGCTGGAGGGACATCAGCTCCACCTGATGGGCAAGAAGGAACCGGCTATGGGAAGAGCTAGGGAGAGCCTGTGGGGCAGAGAGAGTGACAGGCATCCCTCATTCATTCATTCACCCACCCCACAGGTATCTTTCTGAGAGCACCTTTCCTGTCTGGGAAGGAACCCACACTGCTCCTGGCAGGGAGTGAAGCCTGCTAACCGCCGCCCTCACTGGGCTCCATTGTGCAGATCAGAACACAGGCGACCCAATTTCAAACCCATTTTTTTTCCTGGCTCTCCTTTCCATGCTTTCGTATAGGTGAAGACCTTATGAAATTTGTCATTACCCCCACTTCATGGATAGATGATAAGGCTCCGAAAGCGGAAAAGAGATGCCCAGGCTTCCCCAGCCAGGAAGGGGCAAGGCTGGCTGGGAGCCGTGTGAATGAAAGAGGGGTACCTGGGAGAGACACCCCTCTTCCTTCAGCTCAGTTTGTCCCCTGTCTTCAGCCCGGAGAGCCTGACCCAGCCCAGAAGGTTCTCATTCTTCAAGATCAGCTCAAAGCCTCCACTTACAGGAAGCCTTCCATGTTCCCCACCAGGCCCTGAGTCACCAAATGTGTCTGAACACGAGGTTGCCTTTGTGTTACTGACTTGTGTGGAGGGTGCTCTTTCAGCTGCTTTCTTTTTAAACACAAAGTCCTGTCTGGGAAGGGTCTGGGAGTTCGAACCGCCCTCAGTCCAGGAGAGTTGCGGAGGCACAAAGAGTCAGCATCCTCGTAAAAGGAGTGGAGGGAGGCTCCGTCACAGGAAGCCACGGGTCTCTGTGACTGCAAGGGGTGGGGGTTGTCACAAACGGGCCTTTTAAAGGTCACCATCAGAGCACCGCAACGAGTGGCAGTGTCGTGCAGATCACAGATGTGTGCACCTGCAGCAAAGGACGCCCCAGCAGCCCCCGGGTGACACCCGTAGCACCTGCAGAGGGGACACAGTGTCCAGGGGGTCACCTGACACATGGGCCCTAAAGGGCTCTCTTTGTTGCCCTGGCTGGTGTGGCTCTGTGGATTAAAAAGTCGCAAGTTCGATTCCCAGGCAGGGCACATGCCTGGGTTCCGGGTCAGGTCCCAGTTGGGGACGTGCGAGAGGCAACCGATCTGTTTCTCTTGCACATATTTTTCTCTCTCTCTAATCAATCAATCAATCAATCAATCAGCCAATCAAGAGCTGGCTATGTTTTAGCATCTTGGTCTCTGTGCATAAAACCTGCTCTGGAATATTACAACTCCTCCCCCTGCCCCCACACCACCAGATGACGGTGACTCTGGTGTCAAAGCCACATTCGAAGAATTTGAACCCAATCATTTCTTGTAATTTGAGACCAGACAAAAGCAGTCGTCCCAAATTAATCACTTTCTATCCAGAAAAGGTTTAAAATATGTATGTCCTCGTCAAGAAATAAATTAGGTGTTGCAAACCGATGTCTCACTCACCCCTCCCCTTACAGTGCACAGTGTTCAACCTTCGGTGCATCTTCTCTTTGGGAGAATAGGGTCTGCCCTTACCCTTTACTGGGATTTGCTAACCCTGGGCATAGACAGGAGCTGCTCGTCCCCCGAGGGCCCACCGCACTGTGGCTTTCCCCCCCGTTGCACCCCTGGGGTAGGTGCTGTGGCTGTGACCCCTCTGTGCTCCTCACTGGAAGCCCCCAAGGGCAGGACCCAGGCCACGTTCACCGGCGAATCCCCAGTGCTCAGGACAGCACTGTCACACGTAGGTACCCAATATACACATTGGAACAGGGTGACCACAGTGATGGATTGCTCTGAACTGGGAGAAGGACGGAAAGGAGGGACGCAGGAGAGAGGGGAGAACACAGGAAGGGCCAGGAAAGGGTTGTAAAGGAACGAGCTTGAGTTGACGGTAGCCCTGGACTCTGGTGTCATCGATGGGGACATGTGCTGGTACAAACAAGCAAACAAAGCAACAACATAGGGATGCATTCACAGAAGTATAGTCTCTAGAACAACAGTCAGGCAGGTGGCTTTGGGAGAGAGGGAGATTTCTGTCACAGGAGGTGTGCAAACAGAAGCGGGGAGCAGGGACACGCCAGGCCCGGGCAGCCGCCTCCAGCCATAACCCGTCCTGGCTTTCACTTCCACCCCCTCCCCTTAACCACCTCCAGAACTGCAGAGACTAGGCCGCCCTTCCTCGGAACAAGGACTCGGGCTTGGATTGCAAGGGCCCCTGGGTGGGGCTGTCTCTGGATTGTGCAGAACTGGCGCAGCCTCCAGGGCAGTGGGCAGAGGGAGGGCCCTGGCTGGGCTCCCCGGCCCGGCTCTCTCGAGGCGTGCCCTGGCAGGCCCTTCGCAGTAGCAGGCAGTCAGGTGCACCTCGGAGGGAGGGCCCACACTGACAGGGGTGTGCCCACCGCGGACACCTAGGGGAAAAGACCCCTTCCCTGGGAACCCCGGGGCATGAGCTCGGCCTCCTCCCTGTAACTGGAGGACTGGGAATCCAGACTGCAGTCAGACCACAAAGCTGGGCGGTCTCACAACTGCAACAGGAAGGCCCTTCTTTTCGGCAAACCCTGCCCAGCAAACCTTCGACTTCCGCACCCCGAGGGTCTTCACCCCCCGAAGCAGTATTCTTTGGTTCTTGGTAACAGAGCGCCAACCACAGGGCGGGCACCAGGTTTTCTGAGTGATCTTCCTCACAATCTGGCAGCCTGGTTATTAACACAATAACCAAAGCGCAGAGAGAGGAAGGAACTGCCAAGTTCACGGCCGAGGAGAGGGCAGCACTCAGAAGGTTCTCGACTCTATAAATGAGGTCCCAGGTGCAGAAAGATAAGTGTCCTCTTCCCCCCCCAACAATTTCTGACCCCCACCCGCTGTCACACCTCCCCCCACAACAGGGTTAGTAAACAGGTGACAGGCAACAGAACCTCACAGGACTCTTGGGCTGCCCTTTCCAAAGAGTGACAGGCGGGAAGGCTTCCATTTTAATGCGAGGCGAGACAGGCTGAACGCAGAACCGTGAACGCAGAACGCTGCTTATCAAAACAAAATAAACAAACACAAAATGCGTATAGAAATGAAACGAAAGGAAACCTGTCAAAACATGACCAACAGTTATCTTTGAATAAGAGGAAGAGGGGTGGGTTTTCACTCTTTCTATCTGTTGGCAATTTGTAAATATTCTGTAATGAGCAGGTATGAAATTTTTCTAATGGGAAAGAACTCAATAAAGCACTTTGCAGAAATGGAGTCTTATTTGGGAGTGGCCTTGTTGCCTGATATGTCCCGATCATGCTGGCATGGATAGGGTTGCCAATTTCCTAGCAAGGAGCTGAGTACTGTGTGACATGGCAGAGTAATAGGGAGTGTTCACTACGTCAGTAGGTATTACGTCTCAGCTCTGAACCAGGAAGAGGCAGAGCCTAAAGTCCCTTTGATGCCATGCTGGCTGCTGGGATTACAGAGAAACATTCTGGGGACATTACTGTCATCGTGAGTGGGCTGTGTCCAAACGTTGCCTCGACTACCACTCATTTAAGAAAAATGGCTTTACCTGAAAAAAAAAAAAAAAGGCCCAAGACATGATAAAACATTATTGAGAGGAACCCAAGACCTAAATGGAAGATATACCATATTCATGGATTGGAAGACTCAGCATGTTAGAGAAGTCAGTTTTCTGCAAACTGATTTATGGATTCAGTGCTCGCAGCCCTAACCCAAACCCTGATAGGTATGTATGTGCGTAACTTGGAAAACAGATCATAACATCTGTGGGGAAACACGGGAGGTGAAGTGGAGCCATGTTTGGAAAATGACCTTTTTTTGAAAAAAACAGAAGAACAAGATAGAAGGATTTCCTCTACTGGATACAATGCCTATTGTGCGGCTCAGTAAGTGAGGCTGTGGCGTCGGTCCAGAGGGAGCACAAAGGCCAGCGAGGTGGACAAGAGACGCCAGACCCCAATGGACGTGTGTCTGAGGACGGTCGTGACATGACCAAGCCACGGGGGAAGAGGACAATCCGTTTCAATGACTGGTGCTGGGCCAGTTGGATATTGACATAGAAAAAAGAGAAAGAAACTTGATCCTCACCTTGCACCATGTACACCATCCGGTTCAGGGAAACTGTAGATTTCAATGTTAAAGGGAGAGCAGCCTAACTTCTGGGAAGCCACGTAGGAGAATGTCCTCACGGCCTGGGAGTGGTAGGAAGGTTCTTTGACAGGACATGGGAAGTGCTGACCATAAAGATAAAACTGATAAAACTAACTTCACTAAAATTTAACATTCTTTTTTTTTTTGTTAAAGA